TCACGGTGGACGGCTGGGACAGGGAGGATGAAGAAGAGGTGAGGAGCCACCCCACATCCCGGCGCCAGCTGGAACGGTTGCACCTAACCTTCAGGACGACGCTCCTGATGTGCACGGCGGCACTGCCACAGTTTGGCAACCTGAAGGTCACCAAGGAGGAGCTGGATGATTGGTATGCCTGGTTCTATGGGGAAGACATCGCCGGCAGGAAGCCTCCCCCGAGCGACACCACCTTGCTGTTTGCAGAGCGCAATGCATGGCGCAAGATCCACGAGATGGTGCACCAGGGCACCACTCTCTCCGATGCCCTCAAGAATATCAGGGGCGACTTCCTCTTCTGGCAACGGGAGGTCTATGAGCACCTCAACAGGGGGGCAAGGCACCCAAGGTGTGGCAGACTCAGTGGGAGAAGCCCAAGAAGGGGGGAAAAGGCTCCTGGCTTTCGGGGCCGACCCGGTCCAAGCCAAAGGGCAAGGGCGGCAAGGGGAAGTCCCCCAACTCCCCCTCGGTTCCATGGCCGGACCACTGGGCGTTCAAGAATCCCAAAGGGGTGGCGTACTGCAGAGATCATCACCTCCACACAAGTGTTCGGGATCATGCGGCCGATCCCACAACTGCCCGGTCAGGAAGGATGGATGGGTTTGCGATGCCCCCCCATCGAAGCATGTGCCACAGGCATGCCCTCACCTTCCCAAGTGACAGGAGGCCACTCAGGGTGCCATAGGCCCCGTGGCTTCCCGGTCTCAGTTGGGACCACAGGCCACCAGTGCGAGAGTGCACACAGAGGGGGAGAGCCGACCCCACCAGAGCCACAGCGAAAGGCAGACAGAGCGGGGGAGGCCAGGACGGCCTCAGATGGGAGGGGACTTCTCCAGGGTGCCACCGGCCCCGGAAGCCCCTCCACCGAGGAAGAGGAGCGGTCCCGCACCCACCGAGGCAGTGGGAAGACCCCCCAGAGAGACCCAGAGGTGAGGATCCGCCCGGCAAGGGACGCTCCAAAAACCCGGGAAGAACCGCCAGGGCAAGCAGCCAGCCCAGGGCCAGATGACGGGAGGGTCAGACAAAGGACACACGGAATTTCTAGGGGGGGCAAGCCCCACCTTCCCATGGATGCAGAACATCCCGGAAAGACTGAGGCTCAGACTGAGGTGGACGCCACGGCCGGTTCCGGAGTCGTCAAAACCGTCCCTCATCCTGCTGTACGCGGGGAAGGATGATGCGGGGGCCCTGGATGCCTACCTCCATGCCTACAACCCGGCCTTTTCGGAGTACATTTGGAGGGTGGAGACCTTGGACAGGACATGCTGGGCGAGGAGCCTTACTCTACGATGTGCTCCATGGCCATGGCGGGCAAGGTCGCCTTGGTGGGGGGCGGCCCCAACTGCAGGACGTGGAGCATCCTCAGATGGTTCCCCAAGCCGGGGGGCCCAACGTCGGTGAGGGGCAGAGCAGAGCAGACCCTATGGGGCTTGGAGGGCTTGGAGCCCCGGGTTATGGAGGACACGGACAATGACAGCGTGCTCATGCTCCGACAGATGTACCTGACCTCGCTGGCCTACAAGGGGCTAGGTCAGCTAACGGTTCCGCAGATGGGTTCCTCCTTCTTGGAGCACCCGATGGACCCGATGGAGCGCAGCAAGAGTCCGAGCGCAGCGAGGTGCTCATTGATCTGGGTCACGCGGGCCTACATTCAATGGGCGAGTGCACTCCATCACTCCCTCATCAAGTTTGACGAGTGCCGCCTGGGCCAGGTGGTTGTGAAGTCCACGACATTGTCAACGGACCTTCCACTTCACCACTGGCATGATCTGCGTTGCAACCACGGGGCTCACCCCAGGGGGGAAAAGCTAAACTCCAGTGACCTCAGCCGGTACCCAGAGCAGATGATGCAGGGTCTCGCCGCGGCCATCCTTTGCCGAGCGGGACCCGTCCTGGAGGCACTGAGGCCGGGGGGCACGGCGCCCCAGGCGAACCCAACGACCCCCCCGACCCCGAGGCGGCCGAGGGAACCTTCTCCCAGCACGCCGGGGGACAACAAGCGCCAGTCCCGGAGGCTGAAGGCGGGCCAACAAGCGTTGGCAGGACTAACCTTGGGCTCACTCCCGGTTTCGGCCTCGGACAACCCGGAGGTCCGGACATCGACACAGAGGACTGGCGAGGCGGATAAACTTGGGGGGGGCACTCTTTCCCCGGATCCATGGGCACACCATGGCATGGAGATCTCGGATCGGCCCACCATCCTGCCGATCACGCACGACCCCAATCTCTCCGACAAGGTCATGTGCCTTCAGATGGCCTTCAAACAGCGTCCCTTAAGGGACGGAGGAGGAAAGCCCTCATTGGGACGGTTGGCCCCTTGGACCCGGCCACTGTCCCAAGCAGCAGCGCTGGGGGCCAAGATCTGTGTCCTCACTTCGCCGTGGGGGGACAAGCTCCAAGAGTCTCTCTCGTTGGGGGATGGGTCACATCCCTTCCCAGAGGACCTGCTTGACATCAGGGAGATTCTGGCGCCGGGGGCAGGCCAACCCTTCTTGCTGGACATCTTGCACAGCGCTGAACATTCAGGACCCCGACCACCAGTTTCCCCGGGATCTGGAGCAAGGGGTCCCACTGGGGGTCACGGACCCACCCTGACCTCGCCGGGCATCTGGCCACTCAAGAAGGAGCTGAAAGGGGAGGAGCCGGAGTTCCAGGAACTCCCTCACCCAACGGGCAGGGGTAACTACCCCTCGGCGGATCACTTCAGTGAGCTCATCAGGGGCACATTTCTGGAGGAGGTCCCAATGGGCATGGTGGAGGGCCCCTTCAGTAAGGTCCGCACGATCTACGATGGCTCGGTGGGTGGGGCCAATGACACCATCAGGAACCAGACGGTGGAAAGGACGACGGCTCCGACGGTGCTGGATGGGGTCCAAGCTCTTCATTGGCTACATGCGGCAGCTGCGGAGGGACCCCCCTCTCAGGGTGCCCCTGGCCCCGAGAGGGGGGTCGTCAAACCTCCACCTGGGGGCTGGCTATGGCCGGGTGCTGCTCAAGGCGGACGTCACCAAGGCCCACCGGAGAGTGAAGGTCCTCAGGAAGGACTGGCGGTTCCAAGTGGCCTCACTGCGGGAAGAATGGTGGGTGAACAAGGTAGGCACATATGGCATGGCCAGTGCCCAATCCTACTGGGGACGCCTGGCAGCCCTTCTGCTCAGGGTCCTCTACGCCCTTTTCCCTCAAGTGGATTGGAACTTTGTCTTTGTCGATGACTTCCTGTGGCTGCTTCGAAGCGAAGGGGCAGCAAACTTGGCGGTGGCGCTGTTGGCAACACTCCTGGCCTTGGGCACCCCGCTTAGCTGGAAGAAGACGCATTTGGCGGAGGTTAACACGTGGCTGGGTTTCGTGGTCCACCCGAACATCCCGCAGGTCCTCATGGCAGCCAACAAACACATCCTGGTTATGGAGGTTTTGCAGACCATGGTGGAAGGGCAGGCGATGCACTCAAAGGACATCGAGAAGGCCCTGGGTCGCATCCAATGGGCGACGGCTGCATGTCCGCTGGCGAAGTCGATGCTCCAGCCACTTTGGGCCTGGAAGATGGCCACCACCACGGTGGGGAAACCCCCCAAGGTGGTCAGGATGCTGGCGTTCATGCTGCGGTTCCTCTTCAACACGCCTTTCGTCCAGTACTCCCCTTACTTGCCGAAGTCCTCTTGGTGGGGTTGCAGCGATGCTAGCGCCTCGGACGACGGACTGGCATTTGTGGGAGGTTGGTGCTCCAACAAAGTGGAGCCGGACAAGAAGGAGGTGTACTGGTTCCACGAGCAGATCCACGTGGAGGAGTACCCTTGGGCCTTCAAGAATGGGGATCCAAAGCGGCGGATTGCAGCTCTGGAGATGCTGGGCACGCTCTTCCTCTGTAACATGATCCTCACGCACCAAGGCCCTCTGTCCTCCCGGGTCCGACTCCCGGTGGGCAGTGACAACCAGGGCAACGTCATGGCGATGCTCAACCTTGGATCCAAGAAGCCCTACACGGCGGCGATCCTGATGGAGCTGGTCTTCCTGCTCCACACCCATGGCTGCTCGCTGGCGGCCAACCACGTGCCCCGTGAGTTCAATCAATGGGCTGATGAGCTGACACACCCAGATTTCTCTGGGTTCGACCCTTTGCAAAGGGTCCCCAAGCAGGAACTCTGCGAGGAGTTTGTTTTTCTCCCGCGTCTCCTGAATGGAGACGTTTTTGATCTCAGCGTGGGCCCACCCATGCTCCCGTGACCGGAGCCGGTGGGTGACTCACTTCCCCTGGTGGCAGACCCCCCTGTGGCCTGGGTGCCACGGGCCCCGGCTCAGGGGCGGGCGCTATCAGTCTGCACACCCGTTCTTCAGTTGTTGAGATTGTGAGTTGGGTGGCCCATGGGGCCCACCCAGCCTTTGTCATCTGACAGGGGAAGATGAGTCCCTGGCACCAACACACTGCTCGGATAAAAGAGTTATCGCGTGCCTGTGTGTGGTGCCGTTTGGTTAGCTTGCATACACAAAGGGGCATCAGGAGGAAACCCGGCCGTTTTTGGGGTCCTTCAAGAAAAGACACCCCCATTTCGAGGCTCTTCTAGGGGTTGATTCCCCATTCTTTTCAACCATCGTTCTTTTCAAAAACCTGATCCGTTTCCCCCGAGTTTTTGATGGTTTCCTGAAAAGATTCGGATCCCTGGAAAGAATGGAATTGGAAGGTACCCCTGGAATAAAAGGCCCAACGCCCATTTGGGTATGGATCAAAGTTGAACCACCAGGAATTGGACCGCAGATTTTAGCCCTTTCCATTTAACAGGGCAACCCATTTGTGGTACCTATTTTTGACCCGCAAAAGAATGGAAATGGAAGGTACCCCTAGACATTTCCCCTCCAACCCTTTTTTACATGGAACCTGCCAGGCCCTGGGACACCATGTTCCTTTTACGGGTACGCCTGGATCTCCGTCTCAGCGCAAGCGCTTTGGTTGTGCCACCAACTCGCAGGAGTCCGCGGCACGCACGGAAGACTCCGACGGCCCGCGGCTGGGAGGCGGCATGCTGGGCCCGGCAGGACCCTTGCTGACGCTGGGGCTTGAGAAAGGGCGAATGGGAACCCCGGATGAAGAAAAACACATATGGGTCAAAATCCTGTACCCCCAGTCAACATCCCAATCCCCAGTACACCTGCCCCAAAATGGTACCATTGGTTTTGACCCACAGCCACATCATTTTAATAGTGGGGTGTGTCCCTGGGTGTGGGGAGTCAGACCACTTTTGGAGGGGAACAGTCCCCCTATTCATAAAGTGGGTTGGTGAATCCAGGCTCAACATGAAGCGAAGGTTAGCAAGGACTCGACAGTTCCAGCCAGAAATAGGTGCGGTCCTCTTGATTCTGTACATGATATTGCCCACTCCATTTGGCTACGAGGCTTTGATTGTGACTCAGGGGAGAGTTGGGTTGTGTTTGTCGTTGAGGTTACTCTCCTCAGGTTTCAAAGCGAAATCAAGGGGAGAACGGCCATATTCCCCCTATCTTGACACATACCCAAATATGTTTGTGCTTGGATTTTTCAGGGGCACTATTTTAATTGATTGAGGTGGTTTTAAAGGGCAACCACTAGGGAAGCAACTTGGAAGCATACCCGTCCGTACGGGTACGTTTATTGATGCTACCACCCCTGAACCTCGTTAGACTTAGCTTACCTTTTGACTTATTGCCTTCTTGGGAATCCGTCCTGTTTCCTTTCAATGAGCATTTGATTTTTTGCAGTCTGGTCAACTTACTTCTTTTTTTGCACGAACATCGAGTCCGTTCCTTCACTTTTGATGATAACGGCCATTGGCACACGTGTCGGCCAACCGCGAGGATCGCGTCGGGATCGATTCTCCGAGTGTGAATCGTTCAATAGACCCGCTTATTTGCAGTTGGTGGTTCAGGAGTTGCCTTCATCCCTGACTCCGATGGCAAAGCAGCCTTCAACGTTGCTGTTTGGGTGTGTGTTGAATCCAGTAAGTACAGCAGTCCTTAGCCCTTGGTCTAACATGAAACGGCCGTCGTTGGAGTACGTTTAACCCACGTTGAGTTTAGGATTTCTAGGGTCTCCGTGAGATAAGTCTGAGGTTCATTCCCCATCCTCTGCGCAGATTCCGCATGCCTCGCAGCTCGGGACTGGGAAGTGGGGGGAGCCATCCTGAACAAACTTTCAAAAAACACTTTTGGGTCAAAAGCCTGGTTCATCACGCGCTCTACGCGCGCCTTGCTGACTGCACACACAAGGCGCACCCTCAGACTGCTCGCGCATGGCGCAAAAATAAGCTGACGTTCCATTTGCCGCCACCCAAAGATGTTCCCAAGCCTCCCACAAATCCCCATCCAAACCCCAGAACCGAGCACCAAACCTGGCAGCAAAAGCCGAAAAACCCAAGAAAGCACCGAACACAAACACTCCCGACCCCAAAAAACCCCAACCCCACGCCCACGCCCAAGTCGGCACCCCAGAAGTGGCGAGCCCAGGCTTTGGTGGCTGCTGGGGGTCGCCTTCGGCGTTCTCCACGAAGGCCTTTGGGGGGTGGAAAAAAAAAACGGGGGCTGGGTGGCTCATCCCTTTGGGAGATCTTGGGAGCCCCCGAACGCGGCTGAGGGCTCGGAGGAAGAAGAGGCAGTTCGACAGGTCCAACGATTTTGAGACACCCATTTCCCTGGGGTTCAACGCTTCAACCCCCATTTTGCAACAACCCAATTTGGATGATGACAGTCCTGAAGGGTACATGGGGGTTGAACCACCAGGGACTTGATGTGTGGCTGAGTGTTGCACTAGATTCCGATCATTCTTTGCCCTGCACTGATGATTTGGCTCACGATAGGGCCTTGATTTCCTTTAGGCTGGTCCCTACAATCCTACGGTTTCCCTCGCAAGCCATTCAACAAATCAGGCCATTGGACGCATGACTTTCGGAATGAGTCCCTTTCGTCTTTCGGGTTTTGCGTGCAATTTCCTGGGCCATGGTTGCGATTTGTCTAACAGGCTGAAGCGATTTGGAAAAAAGTCAACATTGCTGTGGTATATCATTGTCTCCCACAATCTTCCCCTCTTGGTTTTAAAGGGAACCTGCCACCACTGGACTTTTCTTTTCGCCCCAGTGGACATACACAAGCGGAAGCAATTGTCTGGGCCCTTGGTATCTTGGCCCACATCTTCTTTTGATCACTCATGCAACCACTTTGTGGTTGGTATGTACGGCTACCCTTCTTCAATTGCTATATGTAAATTTCACAAGAGCCCACAGCAAATGTTTGCGAAACATTGGTTGGAAGGTTTGCCAAAGCAATGTGCATGTCATATTTGTGTCATGCCAGATCCGAAGATTACATCATGCATGTACCCGAGGGTTCAACCACTCATTCAACGAGTGGCAAGGACCCCATTTGGATGACAGTCCTTAGGTAAACCGTGGCTCTATGAACCCAGTGGTTTGAACCCCAGGGTGTTGGTTCAAACCACCATGAAAAAGAATGGGGGGGTTACTGGAGCCACCGTCACTTTCCTAAGGATTGTCATCATCCAAATAGGGTCCTTGCCATTCTTGAAAAATGGGGGTTGAACTTCAGGGAGTCTATTCAAATCCAACAACGCGATATTCAGAGCAAAACCCTTGAAGGCGTGCTCTTTCACACGAAAAGGTCTAAATCCGCATCCACGCATCGATTGTGTTGTTCAATGGCTCACAGTAGGGAAAACTGACTGTCAGTTCTATGAGACTCGCAGCTAGTTGCGACATTCGTTTTGGCCGAGCAGGCAGGGGAACGAGCAAGCAAGCAAACAAGCAAACAAGCAACCCTAAACCGACCCTAAACCAGCCCTAAACTTACCCTCGACCAACCTTAAGCCGACCCTAAAGCAAGCCTTAACCCTACCCTAAACCGCTCTTAACCAACCCTAAGCCAAGCCTAAACCAACCCCAAACCCATCTTAAACCCACCCTAAACCCACCCTAAACCACCCTTAAACCCGCCCTAAATCAACCAATGCTGACCTTGACGAACAGCCCCCCAACTCAACCCTAGGCCAAGACTAAAGCCGCCCTAAACCGCCCTAAAGCAACGCTAGACCAAAACGACGGTGGAAAACACATCGTGATTGGGACTGAAAAGAATTCCTCGGTAAGAGGTGCCGCCCTCTTTTGGGTTTGGTTGCCATTTTAGCGGTAAATTGACAGCTACTTTGTGGGGCTCAACGTGAGAGGTTCCCCGAAGTTGATTCCTGCAAACCCGCGAGCTTAACCTCAGTGAGCGAATCGACCGGATCTGAGCTCGAGAAAAAAACTGGTCCACTTTTAGGGTACCCCCAAAATGGAGTTCGGTTTACCCGCTGTTAATTTCGGGTCCAAACTGAAACTGGGCAACTGGGTAATCCGTTCCCTGTATGAATACATGCACCCTATTGATCAATATGCTTTTTCCCGGACTCCAAATCTCAAAATACTAATTCAGTAGACTTAACCAATCTTAAAACGTATTTACAGCAACAAATGTCCTGCCAACCCCAACTCTAGTCTTCGGGGACATTGTAGAGCCAATTGTGGGCTTCCATTTGCTTATTTATTTTCTTTTGATTTTGAAGGGAATCTATCACTGCTGGACATTTTAATTATTATGTTTTCCCAGGAGCTGAAACAAAGGGAAGGAGACCAACACTAAACCGAATCTAAGCCAAAACTCAAGCATAGGGGAGCCACAATCAAAACCCGGGTAGTTGCACCCAGAAATGGGTGCAGCCGCCGTGGTGACTTTTTTGCGGCTGCGTGGTTTTGGGTTTACCATGTTGGTACCAGGTTTTGATTCTGACTCGGCGGGCCGGCATATTTTTTCGGGTCTGTGGAGGCTGGGACTGGGGCACTGCGGCGCTCTTTGCCATCAGCGCCACTAGCAGCGTGGGCATCCAAGGCGAGTGGACAGATTTGGAGGTGGTTGTTGGAGGGAAACCAGAAGGAAGCCCAAGAGCAATTTGTTTTATGTCTATTTGGTAGTGGAACTTTGGAAGAATGCGTTTTCTATTGGACCCACAAACAGTTCTAAGCCTTCTGCAGAGGGGTCGTTACAGCGCCAAGTTTTCGGGGACCCTTCTGATCTTGTGATCATCCCCCGAAGGCGTGTGGAAGGGTTTTCCCCCTTGTCTGCTCCCGCCCCATTTTTTTCACGCCGTGCAATTGATTTGCTTCTGAAGTCTTCGGGGCAGAGCTGCGCGCGCCCTTCCCTCGCGCGTGGCTCTGCGCACCGGACACGAATAAAAAAGAATGAAGGTGCCGAAGCCACACGCTCGCCCCGCTTCAAACGGCGGCACCCAAACGGGGCCATCGATTTCAGGCTCGCCCCAAATGAATCAGCCTTACCCTGGGCTTCAGTTACCACCATTGAGAGAATGGGGGTTACCATAACCACCGTGATTTCCCTAAGGATTGTCAGCATCCAAATGGGGTCCTTGCCTTTCTGTGCACGGGGGGTGGAACGCCAGGGCGTTGGTTTGGAGTGCCCTGGCTCGGGGAGATAGGAACTTGTGTAGAGAGAGACGGGAAACCATCGCTCCAAACCAGGGTTGTGGTGGGTTTATCCAACCACTGTGATACTTTTGGGAATCCAACCACTTTAAATGGCGGGCTAGTCTTTGGGGGACCTTTTTCTGGTATCACAGAAGTGGGCATTTCCCACAGCCTTGCTCCAACAACCCAGCCACAAATTAGAGGGAGCTGAATGTGTAGATCGGTCCGATTGATGGCGATGCCGCGCGCGTGCATGAATGCTTGGGGCTGGCTGGAAAAGAAACCAAAAGGAACGCTCGACATGTTTGGGTGTCCTGTGTTTTGACGCAACTTGATTTTCCTCCAAGGGGTCCAAGGGGCAACATAGACAAGACCCGAAGAAAAAAATGGGTGCTCATGTTTTGGGACGAGTTTACGAAGACTGGTTCCTTCAAAAGGCAGATGGTCCTGAGGAAATTCCAACCAAGACATCCAACTTCCAACTTCCGAGCCCAGAACTTGCGAAAACGATCGTCAGGCTTGGACTCCAAGGACGATGTGACTTGACTGCCAGGTGGCTCCAAGGCTCGTTTTTTTGTTTTGTTCTTCCCTTTTTTTCCTTTGCGACTCGCTCAGTGCAACTAAGTGCGTTTTCTTGTTAGGGGGGGCTGATCTTTTTTTCCTTTGCGACTCGCTCAGTTTTTCTTGTTAGGGGGGGCTGATCTTTTTTTCCTTTGCGACTCGCTCAGTGCAACTAAGTGCGTTTTCTTGTTAGGGGGGGCTGGTCTTTTTTTCCTTTGCGACTCGCTCAGTGCAACTAAGTG